GATCGAGCAGCGGATGAAACGATAACATTACCCAAGGATAATTGGGCCAATTATCGCGGCCGTTACCATTCTCGTTAGCTTCTTCTCTCGGAGAGCCGCGCGGCGCGGCGCGGCGCGTTGGAAACGCGGCGACGTTTATCGGGTTTCGTGCCGAATATCCCGGTCGGAGGCCGCCGTAAGAAACGCGCGAGCGTATTTCGTAGCCAGGCTCGCCGACTGTTTTCACGGTCCTCGGATAGCCGCGAGGCTCGCTTTCTTGCGGAACGACGAATATCGCCGGCTCGTGCACACACCGGTGTTTTGCTCTTTAGGAATCATTAGCCTCGGCCTTCGCGGCTAATTCAAATTGCGATTCCCGGCCGGGCCGGAGCTCCTCCTCATCAAAATACCGGACACATGGCGAGCCGCGCCGAGGAACCGGCAAAAACGATCGAATTAACTTTTACTGCGGGAAAAAGAGCACGCAGGGTCATTTTGCGGACGCGACGTGCCTTCTCGGCGAACCAGTTGCGAATCGCGAACGACCCCGCAGCGCTCGGCGACGCGCGACGCGACGGTCCCTGGAGGCCGTCGCTTTTTCACCGTTCCCGACGACGCGACGGGCATCGATCGTTCGATCCGCGATCTCTGCGCAGAATCGAATCGATGGCAAATCTCGATGCCGGAGATGCCGGGGCCGGGCAGGTGCGCAACCAATCCATTCGTTGGAGAGGCGACTGTGACAAAACTTTCGCATTGCCGACACTCTCGACCTATCGAAGACTAAAAGCGATCGACGCGAGCGTTGCTTCGCGAGAACGAGCTAAAACTTCGGTTTGCGTGGACTTGTCGCCGTTTATATTATAATGCGGGCTCGAATCGAGAGCCTTTCCGATTCCAGGGACTTTCGAACGAAAAATATGAATCTTTGATGGGGTGAAACCGAGCGAATGGTTTAGTTCGTACAGTGATGTCTCTCTGATCGACGCTTAAATTGTCCACGAAAATGGACAATTTGGGGAGAAATAGTTACAGATCGCCAACGACTATAAAAACGAGCTACAAGGCTCGAATAATCGCATCTCCTCTCCCCGAATTGTTCAATTTTGCGCGCAATCTGTGCGTCGGTTAAGGAGAAATTACTGTAAATGGCTGAAGAAACGTTCGATAAATTCAGACTTACCGAGACGTTCTAACAACGGCCCCGGACGTTAACATTAAATTATTGTTCGCAGGCTCGGCATGAGAGGGTAAACGAAGCCATGGTAAAGGCGAAGGGCGCAGAGCCTTTCGTCCGAATCCTTTGAGAGGACGCCACAGGACTGCGGCGAGCTGCAGTTCCTGCAGCAGAGGAATGCAGGATTCCCCTACCGTTTCGGTGCATCGTGCGATGCCCCCACCAGCAAATACCTGCACTCACGCGTGGCACGCTCTCCACACGTGGATCGTGCGTTCCCTTCTTCGTCGGAGCTCGCCGCATCTCGGATTTTCTCGTGAACCGATGCCAACCACGTGTTCCGATCCTCCGAAGCGGGTCCCACACGCTCGAGCTCGAGCCGCGCGTTCCACGCGGGGTGGGTGTGACGAGGCAGAGCGAGGCGCGGCGGGGCGAGGCGATCCGCACTGCTCGCCAGCACCGCGTCTTGCAATTAAGGCGAACTTGTCAAACACGCTACCACTATGAATCGCATTAATTGCGTGCATGCCCTGCCTGCTCCGTTTAAGGAACGCTATTCCACTGGATATTGTTTAATACCGGGGTTATTAACGGCGCGAGGTATTATAGTTCCTTGCAGACCGGCCGTAATGATCGCGTGCGGGAAAAACGCAGCCGACGCGCTCGCTCCCATGGCTTCGAATTCGAGCGGAAAGTCTGCAGCGGTCGAACAAAGCTAATTTAACAGTTGCTTCGTCAATTTCGATTTTGGATAGTTCGAAATAAAATACCACCCTTCTGTTAGAAATATTGGAACCATCGAAGCAAAGGTCGGCATAAAATTAGTTTCGTTTCTCGCGTAGAAATTGATTAGAGAGCGTTGCTGGCGCTAAAAAAAATCGTAGCGCAGAGGGTTGAATTTTTTGAAACGCAGAATTTCTCGTGGGATGTATCCAGTATTCGTCGTCCCTTTTCGAACGATTTTTTCGACGTTTACCCTAATTACAAGCTGCCGTCCGCGTCTATAACCGATATTAATAGTCGACTAAAAGGATGAAAAAGTAGCACACGGAACAGAGGGTCCATTAATGGCCCCAAAAAGTGTATCCGTGGATCGTAAAGTCTCATTTGCCAGTTCGCAACGTGAACAGTCGACGCGGTGGGCCGCCCCTTCCCATACCATTTTTCCCGCGAATTACACGTAATGCCGCGGCGTTTGTAATTTTGCTCGGTTATTACAATCAATTTCAGCGGCTCCCTTGCGAGGGAGGAAAGGGGATTATAAAAGGATGAGGGGGGAGGAGGACGAGTCAACGGCCCGGCATGTAGTCGCAGTCCATAAAACGCTACACCGATGTAATTACCGAGGTCGGCACGGTTTTAGAGCATCGAAACTACGGCTGGGTAATTGCCACGGAATTACGAAAAATAACGGTTGTTGGAGTTAGATCGTAAAATTGAGCTAACGAGAAGCGCGGCGAACGAGCATTCATCGCGCGCTATAAAAGCGGTGGCACGGGTGTGCCTGAATGCGACGGAAATCCATGCTGCAGGTTATTATATGCTTAATTTTCGACCGCACACGTTGTTGCTATATCGGGTCCGAAAAAGTGAAAGGGTGCGCGTTTCCAGTGCTCGATTTCAGAACAAAATTTGATTCCTTTCCGACAACATCGGCGCGACGATTTCATCGAATACGTTTTGAAATTATCGAAAGATTTTGGTTTCGGAAGACTGCAAAAACGGCGCAGCCATTCCATGTGAAAATAAACAAAACGTACGAAAAAGAAATGGATTTTACAACGCTCCGAAAGAAGCGCCACGACCGTCCAAATATGCATAATGCGCAGTGTCGTCTAGAAACATTAGTTACGCCATAATTACGACATAAAAAAACAAAATCAAGGGCATAAAACTGTTTATACGGCAACGATGCAAAATATAAGTAATTAACATAATAGTTCGCTAAACATCAAAGAGCAATTCGTTACGTTTTGCAATATTTTCATTTGCTTCCGTATACTAAATCGACGCAGTAGATTCTCCCGAACAGTTCTGTGCCCTTGGTTTTAATTTTGATGCTCTAATTTTGTCATAATTAATGTTTTTCGGTGATCCTGCATTATGCACATGTGGCGCCTCTGTCGGAGAAAAAACGAAGCTTTTTCGGGGTTCGTACAGCGCCAATTAGTCCAGTGGCAAAACGCTCAAACTGTTAGCCAAAATCGATTGTCGGTAATTTGGCTAACAGTTTCAACGTATTGCCGCTGCACTAATTGGCGCTGTACGGACGTCGAAAGTAGCTTCACTTTTTCTCCGACAGAGGCGCCACATGTGCATAATGCAGGATCACGGAAAAACATTAATTACGGCAAAATTATAGCATGAAAATTAAAACCAAGGGCACAGAACTGTTCGGGAGAATCTGCTGCGTCGATATCGTGCAAGAACACCAAACGACGATAACGCAAGATGTAATTAGTAACAATAATAGCTAATCAAACTTCAGCGAGCAATTAATTATGTTTCGCAACATTGCAATTTGTTTTTCTATAGAATATAGACACAGCAGATTCTCCTGAACAGTTCTGTACCATTGGTTTTAATTTTTATGCTCTAATTTTGTCATAATTAATGTTTTTCGATGATCCTGCATTCTGCGCATGTGGCGCCTCTGTCGGAGAAAAAGTGAAGCTACTTTCGAGGTCCGTACAGCGCCAATTAGTGCAGCGGCAAAACGCTCAAACTGTTAGCCAAATTACCGACAGTCGATTTTGGCTAACAGTTTGAGCGTTTTGCCACTGGACTAATTGGCGCTGTACGAACCCCGAAAGAGCTTCGTTTTTTCTCCGACAGAGGCGCCACATGTGCATAATGCAGGATCACGGAAAAACATTAATTACGGCAAAATTATAGCATGAAAATTAAAACCAAGGGCACAGAACTGTTCGGGAGAATCTGCTGCGTCGATATCGTGCAAGAACACCAAACGACGATAACGCAAGATGTAATTAGTAACAATAATAGCTAATCAAACTTCAGCGAGCAATTAATTATGTTTCGCAACATTGCAATTTGTTTTTCTATAGAATATAGACACAGCAGATTCTCCTGAACAGTTCTGTACCATTGGTTTTAATTTTTATGCTCTAATTTTGTCATAATTAATGTTTTTCGATGATCCTGCATTCTGCGCATGTGGCGCCTCTGTCGGAGAAAAAGTGAAGCTACTTTCGAGGTCCGTACAGCGCCAATTAGTGCAGCGGCAAAACGCTCAAACTGTTAGCCAAATTACCGACAGTCGATTTTGGCTAACAGTTTGAGCGTTTTGCCACTGGACTAATTGGCGCTGTACGAACCCCGAAAGAGCTTCGTTTTTTCTCCGACAGAGGCGCCACATACGCAAAGTTGCAAGGGTATAGAATGAATAAACTAATAAATTATAATATTTCCATTTTTATAGTTGCGACAATCGACGACTATAACAACGAGCCGCGAGGCTCGAATAATCGGTGTCCTCTTACCAAACTGTTCGTTTCTGTTCACATGTTGGGTGACAATTGGAGAGAATTTACTGTACATTGATACAATAGATTCTCCGCAACAATTCCGTATACTTGGTTTACTTTTCTACGGGGATAGGGAAAAATAGATTTTTGAAATAGTAAATGAATTATAAATATTTGTATCTTCTCATGAGATACAGAATGGCAAATAAACTCTTTTTAAAATAGTAATTACATGTGAATTTTACGTAGTTAAATAAATTTAAAAATGCTATTTCCATATGTAACTACTATTTCAAGGAAAGTTTATTCGCCAAATTATGTAAAGGTAATTTTTAAAAAAGTAGACATAATAGAGATTTATTTTTAGGATCATTTATTGAAAAATCACATTGACATCATGTACACAAAAAAAATGCATGATTATTTAACATAGTGTGCTACCGATCTGTTTAAATCACCTTTACGGATCGCATTTCCATCGGAATCAACGTACAAGTTTTGATACGTTAAAATAATAAGAAAATCTTTCCTGATATAAAAAAATATATCCTTTCATAATCTAATCTCATTTCATAGATTTTGATAGTATTTTGCCCCTTTTTCCATTTTTTTGATATTGATAAAATTCATATAAAAATAATCTATGAATACAATTGTTTTTTTGTAAAATATAGTACTATTTTAGTATTATTATTTTATCTCGCGAGCTTTATAGAAAACGACAGTTTAGAAAACACTTCTAGCTTGTTTTAGTGCGCACGATAAATTAAAACGGCCTGTACTTTGCTTATTTTGTTGTGTTGTTTGATGTACAAAAGTCAATCTCTTAGAAAAGATACGTACAAAAGGAAACCGTGAAACGTTACCTTCCTATCGATTTTCCATCCATAATTATTGCTAGAATACTATGAGTTATATACACGAATCTATGATACGGTTGTTGATCAGGATGGATTGTGTTGCTTTTTGCGGTTAAAACATATCGCAAAAATTAAAATAAATATTCATATATAATCGGGCAGTGTGGAATTGATACTGCTCTTCGAAAACGCTATTCGAGAATATGTACAAAATCACCACTGATCAGCATGTAAGAAATGCCTAAAACCATGATCAATAAGAATTCCTTTTCGTTAATTACCTCAATAATTTACAAGATTGGTTTGACGAGGATTGTGTTCAAACATTTGATTCAGATACGATAATTCAATCATACTCATGCTCAGTGTGATGTAACGAACGACCGGACGAAGTAGTATCGTAAAAAAAGAATGTAATTGTACCCGTATTATTTACATTTGCGACGACGTTCGCCACACTTCAGTCGCAAACACTCTTTTTACCGTCAGACTCAATGAATAACGAGGAGCGCATGATTTCGCTATAAAATGGAATCACGAAACACTGTCTTCTTCAGTGTTTGGAACAAATTAGCCGATGCTTCACGAAATACAATTCTTAAATTATATGTACCATGTTCCGGAATTATCATCTAAATTTCGCCCTCGTTGCTCGACGGAAAGAAATCCTGCATTTCCTCGTGGGAATCATCCTCGTATCAGCTATCTGGTACCTAAGTACAAAAACAAAAAAATTGTTAAATGCAATTGTTAAAATATATCGGCGATATTATTTTTTGGCCGGGTTTTAAAATATTAATAATTTAAATTTATTTAAAATAACTTTGACTTCGTAAGATTTTTTTTAGGGGGGGGGCTATAATTCGACAATCAAACGCATTAATTAATTAATTTTCCATACCTTCCAAGCCAGTTGGTTGCCAATTTGATAGAGGTCCTTCAATGATTCTGTCAATGTTCCCATAAATTGTAGCTCTACATATTTATGATACAATTCGAGGGCTGCACGAGCATCTTCCGTTGAATCGTGCGTTACAGATTGAATCTTCCTACCCAAAAAGTGCCACGTTAGAAACCGCAGTGACACCATACGATGATGTGGCAAATGAAACAGCAGTACTGTATCTATTACCTGTTCCGGCGGAACAACTAAATTGATTACCCTATGAAAACCAAAAAAGAAGTTAATGATTTGTTTAAGATTTATTTACGAGATCGAAAGACGATTTAATAAAATAATTACCTAAAATCATTTTTTAATCCGTGACCTACAAATATTATTCCATTGTCGACTAAAAACCGCAACTTCTGGTAAGTTGATTTAAGAGTGGTTAAATGTTTGCTGCTGAAATTTGCGTCTAAATCACCTGGTTGAATACCGCTGAATTTTGTTAGGTAATCAACCACTTGCTCTTGAGTGCTTATATAGTCATCTATGAAGGGCGTGCCTTCCAAAGGACCTTGCCTGTTTGAGAATTTTATACGATATAGTAGGGTTTTCAATATTTCAGCAGGTTGAGAAAGTCGTGTTTAAAAGGAGTTAAGTAGAAAAAAAATTAACGATGGACTCTTATATACATACCCGCGTATACAAGTAACTCGCGCAACCGACATGTGACTTGGTTTGATGGTGGACATTTTACCGTCACTGCGAAGTTCAGATTCTTCTTGATTTAAAGTTACAAATTCTGCATCAATACCGACTAAGTCTCCATTCCTCGGCATTTCATCAGATGTTAAAGGAGTAAATGTGATTCCTCTAGTTCCGCCACTACGAGCAATACATTTGTCTTCTCCAAATACATCGTATGTAAGAGGACAAACTAAAGGAGCTGGCTCAGGTGCTGGCACTGCTGTGTAATAAAGGATGCAAGGAACTTTCCAATCTAGATCGAACCAAACTGCTTCTTGTGGTGTTATTGTTGATATACTGCAACAAAAGAATAAATTTGAAACTTAATTTACAACAACAAAATTAATTTGCCATTTTTATAAATAAACTAAATTTCTCCACTTACCAAAAGTCATTCATAATGTACCATTGTGACACAGGACTACCAGCTGATCTTATATGATAATTTGGCCCAACCCGTATCATTGCAACGAGATGTCTTTTGTCGTCATTACTTTTATCATTTATGTGACAGATAACAGCGCTGAGACTGTACTGCATTTTGCTCACATTCTTCGTACTCTCGTTAGTCGCATTTGCGTTGACCCCATCACCATTGTCTGCAGCAACATGGTTTTTGCAGGACGTTGAAGAACATCCTGGAACTTGATCCACCTTGCTGTTCGTCTCACCATTTTCCACCACTCTCTTCTTTGTGGACTCACTACTACTATTACATTCGGCGGTGTCATTCTCTGGATTACTAATTTTTTCTACGGTAATTTCACCATCACTTTTCAACAAAACGTCAATATGGTGTGGAATCCATGAATGCCAATAATACAAGTGACTAGGTGGGTTCGTAAATGATCCTGCTCCTGCAGTCGCCGTAGGGGGTGTAACAGGTGGCGTTGACATGTTTTCTGCAAAGATTAAATATAATATATATGATATAAATGCAGATTAAATATTTCTTGCCGACAATCGAATGATAGTAGAATCATTTTTAAGTTGAGTAAGCGTACCTGTATCTCTACCAGTGTGCCCAAATCTACAATCAGGTCGGGTGCAATTGTTACCGTACCTACAAGGTTTTACGGTAACGGGGACAGGACTAGAAGATGGACTACCCTCTTTTTCACTTAACACCTTTTGAACGACGATATCCATTTGAATTTGGAAGAACAGCTTGTCCTAAAACAATGTTGAATTAAAACAGTTGAACATAGTTATATTACTAATAGTTCTGGTACTCTGTATGTACAAGTTTGTGTTCTATGTACCTGTTCCGAATCTAAACCACAGTTCAACGCCAATATTTGAGGTAGTTCAGTCAATTGTCTAGATTGGAAGGTGGGTGCAAATTTTTGACAATTTTCACACCAGGCAGGTGTCAATTTCTGGGTTCTTAAACTGCTGGCAAGAACACTTGTAAACGGAACCTCCACAGCTACAAAAAGGTAAAATTCATTCGTTTAGTGCAGGCGAAAACTGTTCGATACGCGCGGGATATGTATAGCTTAAATAAATGTTCTTACGAGGATATTGTAAATCCGGATAATATAAATTGCATAGCAACATGATGGAATGTTTGGTAGCTTCACGATGGCATTTAATACAACGATATACGTGTATTTGTTTGGATCCGAACAGGCGTCTGATCTCAGTCTTATCATCTCGTATTTGGTTTTCTATGATAGACTTTTTTCCATTCTTCTCTGTTCGCAACAAAGATAAGTTTGAAACATTAACACAGTGATCTCAACAATAGTTAGTTATGTTCCAAATACAAAAATATATAAAAAGAATTTTATTTCATGTTAGATAATTTATTTAGTAGGGATTTGTTGAACAGATCACACACTATTTGTTCTAAGAATTCAATATTAAATAAATATTTAAATAATACAGGTTTTTAACAGCTTAAAGTAAATATTAACTGTATGTATCTAATAAGGGTAGAATTTTACTTCGATTTAGATTAATTTCTATTAAAATTGGATTTTGGTGAAAACAGCATAAAATTGTCAAGTATGCCCGATACTTATGTTTAGAAGTAATTCATGCAATTTCGGAAAGCAATGTCTACTTTCCTATAAAAAAAAGTCGAATGAAATTCATAAAAAATGGCACGGAGCAAGCAACTGGAGAACGCTATTTTTATCTAGCATAAATAAAAAACCAAAAATGGGTGTAATATCCTAAGAATATAGCAAAGTAATATGTACATTTTAAACAAAACAGTATTCATGTGTAAAAAATAGTAAAATAAGTTGAACAGAATTGCTTTTAATATTCTTGGGATATATTGTTAAGTGCAAACTTATGGTCGAATAAAAAATGAAAAATAAACACAAAAAGTGCCCAACGTGAAGGTTACACATGAATTGTGTTTACCTTTCGACGTGATCCACATATATTTACCATCCTCCTCTTGCTTTCTCCTTCTTTTCCGTTCTTCGTCGTGGCTTCTATACCGCGTTCCAATGTCTTGCAAGATGCTAGGGAAGTCTTGTTCGTTATACACGAACGAAGGATACTTGGGACTAGGCTTTAAACGTGCCGCAATTTCTTGCTCCTGTTGCTCTTTCCTTGTCTCCACCATCTCGTAATGAAGTTGATATAATATAAACCTATTCCAGCTCTAGACAAATGAACGTATTTCATGTTAGGACAATCAACGAAAATAGAACACATGACGGTCGACTAAATTATTACACTACTACTACGTATAATATATCTAGTGTCATACTTGTATTAATTGTAATAAGCAAATTCTCTTTCTGGCTTCTGGATGCAGGTCGCTCAATATAAGTCCTAACGCGGCTGCTTCAGGAACGGTCCTAAAAGCTCTGAGGAAATTCGCAGCTTGGCAAGGTAATCCTCGGGATATGTCCATCATGTGAAACAGGTACCCCAGTTCACAAGAGAGGCAGAATTCTCTTTGGCACGAATGCGAGAGCAATGCTATTCTCAGAGGTTCGCAATAATAAAGCAACTGAAAAGAAAAGATGCATTATTTTGTTTTTCTTAGAAAGATAAAAGGATCGTATTCGAAGGCTGACTTACTTGTAACATAGGATTACAATAACTGTTGGGAAGTGTAGCTTCCAGGCCACAGAAACTGGTGCGATTATACTGATCGAAATCGAACTCCTCGTAACCAAGACGGGTGTATTTCACTTCAACTTTACGATATCGTTTAGGAATATTAATAGATGTGCCATCATGTGGTCTAAATTGTGGGTTCCCTGGAAATAGTTTTGTGACTACGCCATATTGCATTTCGAAATCGTCGTAAGTTATCTGCAAAAGAGGTATTATTTATTTTTTGGCAATTAATCAAATGAGACGGTTTATACGCGAATATGTTCAGATATTTGTACAGCTAATATTGTCTCTGAAAACTGATTGAATCAATACACTATACATATATCAACATATACGGAATGCATATTAATAATTATGCATTCCAAGGGAAAAAAAGAAAGTGAAAACAATATTCTTTGAGAACAAATTGAACTTAAAAACAAGTAGATGCCTACATTTCTTGGCTTAGAGTATAATTATAAACATTGAGTGAGGGGAAAGGGATTTTAAGAAAATTTTAGAAAAGCTAGAGTAGAATAATGTAATAGAGTGGGAGAGTATTGTTTTTTCTCACTTGATTTCTGCGAGACGCATGAGGATTTGGTGCATAGCCTATTGTTCCTTGCATTTTCATTGTGCGTAAAATTTCAGAATTAATTGTTGGCGTTGGTCTGTAAAACAAACAATAAGAAATATTACAAACAAATTACTGTTTACGAGAGTAAAGTTCAACACCAATTAATTATGGTAACATACCTATAAACTTTTCTAATATATTCCTCCGCCCAATCGCTCAACAACGGATGACCATTGTAAATAATGGGTATTGTACTTAGGGGTGTAACATCGTCATCAAATGGTATATAAACAGGATGAATTGGATCAGCTGGATCAGCAAATTCTGTTGTGCTAAATAAATCGAAACATTCAGTTTTTTACTTCCGCCCTCTCTTTCTCTCTTTTTTTTTTATTGTTCATATTACGATATAAATTACTAACCGGGAAAACGTATTGAACTTCAGATCATGTGTATTTGTAGACATAAGATGTATGGAACCTCCTGTATCTCCAAAGCAAAGACAGTGGGATGTGGAGGATACATCGAACGCTAGAGTCATCGCACCACCAGTAGCAACCTTTCATAAAAAATGTATGTTTACAAAAATGTGACCGAATATTTTGTTCCAAAGAAAATGTTGCATATATTTACCTGATACATGCATTGCTCAGTGGGTTGTACATTCGCATAGATAGTATCTAACAATTGCATTTGTCCCGATGGCGATACAACAGCTATACGACTCGAATAACTCGGTAGAAACTTTAATAAAAGTGGATACACCATAGTAGTAATAGGAATTAATGCTCGCATTTGTCTCAGATCATATGCCATTAAAAAACGATCCACTGTGAGGCCCTGTCGACTAAAGCCAGAGATATAATAAATAATGCATACTAATTTAAACATATGTGTAATGGTTTAAAGATTGTGTATCTTTCTAATATCTTAGTTGATTTTCATCTTACCTATTACTAAAACCACAGGTGACAAGGTAATTTCCTTGTACATCAAAATCATTAAGGGATCCGCTATGAGTATTTAAAGTGTGTTCGATATTCAATGTATTTGGATTCCTGAGATCAATTCTTCCACTAGGGTCACCAGCACATATCAGCCTATTATGCTTTCTTAACATTGCACAACCACCTTCTTCTACCATTACCTATAAGTACAAGAAAATTAGATATACATACACGAGTGGAAAGTAACATAACTCTGAATCATTTTCTTAAATACTCACTCCACCAATCTCTTTCGCGGTAACGAGATCAAAGTCAATTATTTCATCCTGATGTCCTCCCATTAGTAATCTTGTAGAACAAACTTGAAGCATGCATTGCATATCTGTCATATTTGCCGACCTATAAAATTATTTGTATAAATAAAATGAACTCCATACATAGTACAAGGTTAAGCATTACATACATGTGAGTAAATATTGGAATTCCCCTTCTTAATTGGCATCTTAACGAATCTTGCGTCAAGATTAAGATGCTCTCTTCCACTGGCTGAATATCGCGAATTCCATGTTGCGTATGTACTTGAAAGGAGGTATATTTTTGTAACTCAGGCCCGTAATAAGATGTTACATGTCCCTACAAAATATGATACTTGATTATAAATGAAAAGTTTGATAAGAAAAAATATACAAATATATTAAATTGTTCTTAAATTAAACGACATGCATCCATATAACAATAATTATTATACCCCTTGATTCCCCATCCACAGAAGCTCTTCCTTCGTGTCAAAAGTAATATTCGAAATTCCAAATCTATCTCCGCCATCGGCGAGTATGGTACGAGTTTCACTGTACTCAGATCCAGCATAGTCTCCAAATTGTTCGACTGCAGCTATATATTCTTCATTGGCCATTACATATGCTGCGTCATCCCCTGTAATGAAATACATATATATTGACCATAAAAATTCTGTGCTCTGACAGATACGGTAGAACTCTATACATGTTAAATGATAGTAAAATTAATGTTTCCCCTTGTATTCGAAGCAACGTGTAGCAAAATCCAGTTATATGAAACCTAACTTCAATTATACGAATAAATAAACAACGAAAGAGGAGATAATCGGTAGACTCCTATTATCCAACAGATTCGGTTATCCGACCAATCTTTTCCCCCAAGCATGTCGGATAAACGAAGTTCTACCGTAACAGTTTGTTGAATTAGCAGATAAGAATTGGCAACCGTGTCGCGACACAGATGTACAATAAGATTCTTGCAAAATAATTTGCAGTATTAATTAAGCAAGCAGCGATTGTTTATACATTGAATTACAGTCTCTCATAATATTACACGTACAGAAAGTTTAAAACGTTTACTAAAAAATTGGAATAAAACACAGCCTGCAACAATATCTTACTCTGTAAATTTTATGCCAAGAAGGCTCGAAGCTGTTGTAAAATAAATCTCAATAGTATAAAATAATCTCAAAAATGATTAAAACATTAAATATTTAGTTTATGTTTATTTTTTATTGGACTTTTATAAATATTGACGAAAATAAAATTTTGTTTACACTAAATCAATTCTATAAACATCTAAGAATATTTAATGTGATCAATTATTTTCTATAAGATTTATTACTGACATGGATACACAAACTTTGATTCTGAATTGGTCATTGTACACAGCGACATTTGATATTGAAAATACTGGAGAAAATTGCTTTTCGAATTTTCTTCATCTCCAGCAGTAGGACGCTAGATCGCGCACCATGATCAGAGCATCGAGTGTCACGAAGCGAATGGGTTTCGCGCCTTGCTGAGTCTTCGAATTTACAATTGAATGGAGCACAGTTTAACACGTTGCGAGCTTACTGGCGCCTATACGAGAGAGAAAAAGCCCGGATATATTAAAAAACGGTACTTACAGAAAAAGTCTTGGTCGTGCTCCCCAAACTCGAATGGAGCCTCTAGGCCCAAGTCGTAGTAATCGACAACCACGGGGTAATCCATAATATTCCTGTCTTCAGACTGTTCGATTTTCAAAACATTGAATTGCCGCGAAGATAGCTGTTGAATTGCAGTTCAGGCGATCGTTCTCTTTTCATAACACACTTTCAACTTTCAGACACGCACACGCACGCAGCCACGCACCTTCTTAGTCGCCTTGGCAACTGTGCAACAAGCGATACACTTCGCCACCGATATTCGCGGTTTGAATGACACTGCACTATCAAGACGATTCAAATCGGCCGAAATGTAACGCTTTCAGAACTTTTTTATCACGATTCAAGAACTGACTCCGTTATCGAAACACCTTTAATTCATGTTTCGACTTTTCTACGCGTTTCACCCGTGTAAGGTTGTATCACGGCCTTGAAGGTGGCGACATCTGTTCTTGCCGCGTTCGCCAGTAACGCCAATGGCAAGGACGCGAAATTCACTAGAACGCGGTGCTGTTCTGGGCTGCACTGGGTATAGAACGAGCGCGAAACGACTCAACACTTTGACGAAATATTTGTTGAAATCCTTAACAAAACACTGAACACAAACACCAAGGAAGCTATACACTCTATACACTCGCGTACGTAAACTCGCTGGACTACCTGAACTCGAAAGCTCTGTTTCTGAATTTGGAATAAAACCGCTTTGGTCGAGTGTCGTGCTTTTATACGGAAAATGTACTGGGGGTGGACTTGTGCTTGTCCAATTAGACAACTTGTTTTTCGGCTGCCCCTCTTTTTGGCATTGTGATGCCCTCCCCACTACAAATTTCGCGATGGTAAAGGACAGCTCACTATTGGGTCCCAAAAAGTGACCGCTAGACGGGGATTTTCCTCGATGACTAGGCCCATTAGGGTAGCTTGCGTAGGGACGCCTTCCGGTATGACTAATGTTCTGTGCTCTCTATAGTTTATTATTTTATTACTCGAGGGGGGGGGGGGTTAACGAACTGGAGACGCAGGTATATGCCAACTGCATGAAGACGTTGGGGTCTTAGCCCGAAGTTATTTTTTTCGGCAGAAATTGGTTCTTCGCAATAAGGCAATTTTAAGGTTTGAAACTGTCGCTACAAGCTGCTATCCAACAGTGGAAGTGTTGTAAAAACTTAAGAGAAAAATAGAGAGAGAATAATAGAGAAAGTTCATTAGGAAACTTATTTTGAAGCGATGCCCCTTTCTAGCAATGTAGCTATTGTCCACTAAAAATTACATGGGGGTATGGGATAGTTTCCGATCGCTAGCCAGATTCTTTCTCGATGAAAAAAACCCATTAGGGTGACATAGCTGATTACCTGATTCTGTATAATTTATGACTTTATTGCTCGAGCGTTGACGCATTGGAGATGCAGGTATTTGCCAACTGCGTACAAGCCTTTTTAGGATCTTGGCCCGAAAAAAATTTCTTTCGGTTACAAGCTGCTAATGTTCCGGAGCCATCGCTGGTAGAGTTGAATTGGTAATAGAGAGAATAACAGGGAGAGAGTGAGAGAGAAAAAAATAGTAGAGAATAATAAAATTTATTCATGGAACACCAATATATGTACATATGTATAAATTTCACAAGTTATATTCAACATTTTGCATATCACGTGAGAAACGATGAAAATTACAGAAGTATCGAAGGGAGGTACATGTAATTCTTTAAATTTTAGAAAATATCGCGAAAATAATTTGCAATTTTATCCGAAAATACATTCATTTGTTTTTAATACTTTCACATAGCCTGTGCGTTGTGTTACGATTTCGTACGTAAAAAGATACGAGCAAGCAAGGACGTTAGCTTCCTTCCATTTCCGGTCCCGAACAGATTTTGCGGTCTTTTATTCGCATAAACGCCGTATGTTGACCGCGTCGCCTAAAAATAAAAATACAGTCGCTGGTTAGAATATTTTTACATCGTAAGTAATATCAATGGTTCTCAATTCCACATTTCTCTTTCAATTAAAAAATCTTTCGATATTTTACAGGTAAAACAAGTGAAACAGTTCGAAGTTGATTGTCGCAAATTTATAAATCGAAACGCGAAAACATTGGCTAGTAACAATGCGAATAAACGTATAAAAATTACCTTATAGATAATTATAAATGTGTGTAGAACTATGAAGAGATATAAGCAAAATAGTTGCATAGTTTGGCACCAGAGGAGTTTCGCTGATAGTGTAAATTTTCTAATAAATTGTCATAGTTGCAAAATACAAACTGGAAGAATAAACGTCTCTTATGGAAGTCGTTTCGGATGGTAGTTTTTCCCAAGTAGTAAGAATTGTTTAGTAAGTCGTGGACATGAGCACTGTGCGATGCGTGTGACCTGATGTGCAGTGAAACAAATGACATTACTATTTCCAAGTTACACGATATTTATCACATTTTGTTAACCTACCCTTCAGTCTAAGATGCATACCCTGTTAGTGTTAACGCGAATGTAGTTTCAAATAACGCAATACATTGGCTTGACTGAAACGCATATAAAAAGCAATCGATTAGTATTTACTTATCAATATCGTTTCGAACAATATTTTAAGAAATAATTATAACTCGGAAACGGTTGTGTTTCATATACCGGAAATAAAACTGTGATTACTCGGGAGACCTTGAATTTCACCTGAATCTTGAAATAAAGCATGATCAATTTATAAAACAATAATTTTTGTAACAATTAACTCGTAAAACTAACGTTTTACTATTACATTATGCTACCAGTTGAATGTTTTCGACGTGGCTCGATCCATTCGAGTCCTTCATTTGTTAATATTAATTTACTTTTGCATAATTATTGGGCCGATTAAAAAATAGTTAATAATTCAAGCTCGTCGTTCAGAATGGATCCAAGTATTTTTAAGCTGTAAATGGTTTTCCAGGTAATCGTTTTCCAGGAGGAAGAAAATCCTCTATTAAGAAAATAATCCCAGGGGCTATAAATACATTTAATTTCCCGAGGCGACCGAATAGGAATTGCTATTTTGATGGTCAAAATTTCGGAAACGTTGAAAGGTACTCTTAAGCTGTACCCAGTCCATCAAAGTGAATACAAAGGAGAAATACATTTCCATTTAATAGCCCCGTACCGTAATCAATACGGACATAGAAAAGATTTTTTCTAATTATCGGTAGGTGTAAATTGTACGGTGAAACGGAGGAATACGTTACCTTAATGCCGCCGAATCAGGCGTGTACGGTGGTGAAGGGCGTTAATGAGGGTGCCGATTTCTTCCTCTGCCTCTGCCGATTGGCGTCGTGACAACCGATTATTCGGAGTGACGCTAACCGGGCCGGCAGTTTGCTTAGCTTGCTGCGACGGAAACGAGGATCGGCGTATTAGCGGCGGCGGTTTTGCACCTACGGGATTTGATTCAACCGTTTTACGCATGATACTTTTATAGCCTGGCCAAGCCGATCTAATTATATGCTACCTAATAAGCGTAAAGCGGATCGATGCATGCCTTGCATTTCAAAAGACCTCTGACTGTTCATTGGTTGCCTCGGAATAAAGCGTCTCTTCATGGGGATTTCGATCGTGGAAGCATATCTTGAACTGGCATTACCTGCCTTAGACGATTCCTTAGGCGGTTTTTAAAAATATGCACATGTACGTATACTCGTGTTTGTTGGTTTTGCAGACACAGAATGAAATATTGTGTTTTTTTTTCGTTATTAGTTTTTCGCATTTTTTGGGTATCTTTTTTCGTTTTCTTTTTTTTTTGGCGAACGTGAAATCAATCAGTGTAAAGCCTCGGTGTTACATCTCGTTTCTTACAAAAATATAACGTTTCTAATCGAACAAGATACTTAGACGTACTATTTACCTATACACAACATACTATTATAACAAACAACAGTTATATATATATATATATATGTATATATACGTATATATCTATATATCTATATAGATTTTCTGGTATATAATTCTGATCTATGATAACGATACTTTCTATTATGCTTCTAGTCTCACTTTCGCCTCGATCCGGTGCACTCGAAATGAACGGGTTACTAAAAACGGACTTGAAAAGCTCCTATCCTCTCCCGCATCTATCATCGTACGAACGTGCTTGGGGAGGGGGGTTAACGTGTGTTTTCCTCGGACCTGTCTTTACGCGAATCGTCTACACCGATTGGATTTGCAAACCACGGGAAAATTAGGATTCGTGAAAAAAAAGTCGTATGAGCTGTCGAATTCTGGATCAAAATTAAGGTAAGAAACTAGTGCGGTCGCCGCTGTAATACCTTGTCTCTAGCGAAACGTATTCGCAATACTTCGACTAGAGCAGCTATCGCTGACATCAGAAGCATCGTCACGAGAATACGCCCCGCCACAGCAACGGATTTCATTCGACGATCTTTCCCACTATCTTCCGTGCATTCTGTCAAGTTCTTATCATCGGTCTCCTTCGAGACGCTCGATTCCTCGCTTTTATTCCCGACCGCGTCGTTCGATTCCGCACGGTGGACGTTTCTCGTCGGATCCTTGGTCGGGTCGATTCGCCTGTAGGTGCAATTCCGGTCGTAATCGCAGACGAACACCGACATCAGACGTTCCTTGTACTCGAATCTCGGGCAGCGTCTCATCTTCCGATGATCAATCGGGATCATCGCCACCGCCTCGACGAACGTTGCGTTGTCGGCGGCCGTTTCGGCCGTTTCGGTCGTGTCGTTGTTAACGACCGCCTGACTACGGGTATAGTAGGTCGTGTGCAACAGCAATCGCAGAGGCAGGAACAGTAGCACACCGAAGATCGTCAGCATCAGGACGATGCTGATGTTGATGCCCAGCCAGATGTGGATGTCGGATGTTTTGATCGAACGTTCCGCAGCGGTTTCCTCCACGTGCGTCGCGGTTTCTTCGGGCACCGACAGCTCCTCGATGGGCCTGGGCCTCACCTCACCCGTCATCGCGGAGCTCTTCTCACTGCCAACCGCCGATTAATGATATCTCGAACACAATATATCGTTCCCTGTCTTTCGTTCAGACGCAACTGTTGCGCATTCTGTTGTGACTGCAGTTCCAAGTGAACCTGGACGTCGACTGATATTGATTTCCAGGTGGAGGCAGAGCTGGCTACGTACGCGCAAGCCTCGCCAGTACCGCTTTTGTCGCGGATTCTGGGCTTGGCGGTAATTAGATGTCGTTTGAACCGAGCTTGCCGGGAAAGTCGACACCCACGGCGGAATCCGCCTCTATTCTTATCGACGGGCAATCGATACCCTTTTCTCGCGTTTTCTACCACGACAAGTCGACTTAACGGTCGGTCGGTGTCACGGTGAATCAAGGTAGAAACTCTTTATAAGGGAAAATTGTTCCCCCGAGAAATAGGAGTCGAAACAGATGTTTAATTCTTCCTTCGAGATAAGCCGACGCTGACGCGTCGATCTTTTAGAGTCGTTGCTTCATTTACACCAAGTCTATGCTCATTTTGAAACGCTGTCTAACGGCGATTCTTCGCCCATTTGGTCTCGCAACTAGGATTTGTTTTAGATATCTTTCCAATAGCATCGACCTCTCCTATCGGAACGAAAAAGGGAGCATTTAAGCGAACCCCTATTGTCCGAACCGCCGCGTACAATTCAAAACATGCGCCGCTACGGGCAACGTCCATTTTGCCGCGAACAAATCGACGTCGAATCGTGGAGAAACAAAAGTTGGCGGATTTTTCAACGGGCATCGCGGGCTTCTTGGCCTAGAACGTTCGTGGCCAGGAACCGAATAAATTTTTCCTGGATCGAAAAAATCGCGACACGATCATAAAATGAGAAAAACGTGGAGAACGAAGAGTCTGCGCCCGTTGTCTGCGCAGGCGGAACTTGAAAGCGGCGTGCGGCGCAGGAGTCGATTCATCGTGTTGCGGATAGCTCTTCGGTTTCCCGTCGAAAGGAAGGAAGCGGTATCGCGGGCTGGGCGCTCGGGAATGCTTTGAAATGGGCAGGTTCTCTAGCGTGTGCATACATAAATAATATTAGACAATATCGAATTAAAATTCGCATCTTTCTGCGAGCAACAATGGGTCGTGGTGTCCCAACAAAGGAAATGCCCGCCGCAGAGGCAACAGCACCAGCATTGGCGGCGGTGGCGGCGGTGGTGGTGGTGGCAGCATCGGCGGCGGCATTTATAAAAGTAATAAAACAGTCGAACAACAACTCTCTGAAGTGAGTAGCGCCGAGGAAAGAGAGAGAGAGAGAGAGAGAGAGAGAGAGAGAGAGAGAGAGAGAGGGAGAGAGAGAGAGAGAGAGAGAAGAGAGAGAGCGAGAAAGAGAGGTAGAGGAAGGTGGAAAGGGCGAGCGAGCGGGGCACCCCGGGAAGGTGAAAAGAGGAGGGCGAAAGGAGGCAGAGAAAAACAGAGCAAAAGAGAGAGACGAAGCGCAGGAGAACAGCGACCCGACCCGACCGACCGGTAGCCCAGCCAGCGCGCGTATATCTTGCTCTGCTACACCGCACGCCGATTCTTCGAGGTTCTCATTGATGAATTCGTTCTCTCGCAAAACCGAATCGCGCGATTTCTCATCCCCCTTGGCCGGTGCGGCGCGGCGCGGCGCATCGAGTCCCGGATCACTCGGGGGCGGGAAACCCGGAAAAAAAGCACCCTAACAAATCGCGACGTCTCGCAACGATCGTTAGTCATGCTCCGGGATTCCGGGTTCCGTCCACCGGTGTTGCTAATAAGATGGAAAGGCTACCGGGCCGCGCGGCAGCGAGAGATAAGAGTCGGTGGCTGGATACTTAATTAGGTCCGATTATTAATCCATCACGGACGGTACGCTTAATCCCCCGGTTAGACCCGTTCGTTTCNAGAGAGGGAGAGAGAGAGAGAGAGAGAGAAGAGAGAGAGCGAGAAAGAGAGGTAGAGGAAGGTGGAAAGGGCGAGCGAGCGGGGCACCCCGGGAAGGTGAAAAGAGGAGGGCGAAAGGAGGCAGAGAAAAACAGAGCAAAAGAGAGAGACGAAGCGCAGGAGAACAGCGACCCGACCCGACCGACCGGTAGCCCAGCCAGCGCGCGTATATCTTGCTCTGCTACACCGCACGCCGATTCTTCGAGGTTCTCATTGATGAATTCGTTCTCTCGCAAAACCGAATCGCGCGATTTCTCATCCCCCTTGGCCGGTGCGGCGCGGCGCGGCGCATCGAGTCCCGGATCACTCGGGGGCGGGAAACCCGGAAAAAAAGCACCCTAACAAATCGCGACGTCTCGCAACGATCGTTAGTCATGCTCCGGGATTCCGGGTTCCGTCCACCGGTGTTGCTAATAAGATGGAAAGGCTACCGGGCCGCGCGGCAGCGAGAGATAAGAGTCGGTGGCTGGATACTTAATTAGGTCCGATTATTAATCCATCACGGACGGTACGCTTAATCCCCCGGTTAGACCCGTTCGTTTCGTTCCAGCTCGCCGGTGCATCGGATCCTCCTGGAAATCCGTTTCGCGAATAATCGCCGCGGCGTTAATTTAATCCGAATACCAGTTCTGTCCGGAGGAATCCTTGCTCAATTGAGAAACCAGTTCTCTAAGCGAACCGTAATGACATTAGCCGACGGGCAAACATCGAAAAAAGCCGATCGGTCGGGGGGTGTGCGCGCACCGTCGCCAGCAGAGAGGATACGCAGGTGCAACCGGCCGATTATATTGCCGAGTTTTGCGCGAAAGATGAGCGGAGGTTGAGAGCCAGGGTATGTAGAGCAGATGCTGGCCATGCCAGTGGTGGCGGGGTGCGTGATTTTTCACCGCCGACAGCTCCTCCTTCGAGAACCGCGCATTCCACCTCCTTCCTTCTGCCTTCTGCCTTCTGCCTTCGACCCCTCCTGCTCCTTCTCCGTCGGTCCCCTTCATCCTTCACTCTTCGTTCGCATCCAACGCTCTGCGCTCGTCTCTCTCGTTCACCGTCATCCCTCTTTCCCTTCGCCACACACTCGCTCCCTCTCCCTCTCGCTCTATCTGTTCCTTTCTCTTTCCCAATCTCTCTCTCTCTCTCTCTCTCTCTCTCTCTCTCTCTCTCTCTCTCCCCCTCGGTGGCGAACATCGGCAACGTATGCCTCGGACACGCCACTGGACACCAGTTGCACGATCTTAGATTTGCTGATCTCGCATCCCGAGTGCACCGACACACGGATGCACTCGGCGCGGCTGCACACGATACGAGGGGCACGCCTGCAGTGCCTCCTTTTCTGCTCGCGTGTGCAACCGGCCGGCCGCGGCTGCGGCCGCGACCGCGACCGCGTTCGCGTTCACGCACGCGATATACAAAGGGCGGCCGGCCGATGCTCGCGACCGTTCCGAGAAATGATTTTCAATAATCGGCCAGCAGGGAAATACGAAAGGCGTGTCCGAGGAAGCCCCGTGTCACGACGGCTCGGTAATTTTGATTGATTCTCCGCGCGCGGTTCTGCCTGATCACCGATGAGCCGCGCCGAGCCGAGACGAGCCGCGCCGCGCGCCACGCAACTATTGCTGAATGAGCAGATAACGTTACGCCGGTCGTTACACCATTAACGCCGGAAACTCCGTGCTTTATCGGTTGTTTCTCGACCGCGTGGCTCGGGGGCGGCTCTCCGCCCGGTTTCGGTGCACAATTTCATTCGCATCCCGCGATCGCTGCACTCGCTTCGAGCTTCTACCGGTACACGTTCATGTTCCCGTGGAACGCGCCCGTATAAATACAAATTTCCAAGTGCAAGAAACGGAAATTAAATAAGAATATATTTCTCGGTTTTACGATTTTAACGCGTCCAAGATGATGCGCAACGGTATCCCCGGGTTCTTCCAATGCTTTCGCAGATTGGCATATCATCGTCCGCTCATTTTTGCCATAAATTCATGGCAATTTATCACGCTATCTTACACCAAACTAACGACGAATGTAATAAATAGAATTTACAGTGCGTCCCTCAATTTTACAGACCGCATCTCGAACGATTCTTGGCCTCGCCTCCTGTAACATGCGCCGCATTTTCAACGCACCGGCGTCTCATGAATTAGTTATGACCGGCGGTCTCTTAATTTTATCCGGCAGCAGCGAAATCGCTGCTCCGCGCGCACAATTTCCAGCTTTGTTATCTGTACGAACTCCTGATCCAGTGTTTAACGCTCTCCATGGGAAAGATCCTGATTGAAACAATGTTTAACGAGACCCGCGCGTTCCCGATGCGCCAACGTTTCCTGCCCAATTGTTCTTTTCGAGCGCGGCGCGGCGCAAGCCCCAGTCAATGGCTCGTAAAAAGAGAATTCCGTGATCGCGATAAACTCCGGCCGGTCCCACATAAGGACGATAATATCGCCGTTAGTTTTCGCTCGCTCTGAAACAGGACGAAAAAGAAAGCAGAGGCGTCGCGTCGAAAACGGTGGCAGAAAATATTTCCGGCCCGTTCGGTTCATTAGAGGCGGCGGGCCGCGCGCCGGCTCCCGTTGTCTCCGTTTTCCATCTTTTCCCAAGTGATCCCGGCGCGTTACGATTTCCAACGAGCGTACGTCGGCAGCAGCAGCCCGCAGCTCGTTACGCTTGTAATTTACATTTGCCAGCCGAGTGGTACAACATAGTTGAATCGCCGGCGAATAGAATCAACACTCGCGAGAGTCCGTTCCCGCGGAACAAGTGATTTACGCAAGCGTGGCTGTGTCGGTGCGGGCACGGTCTGGTCCGGCCGAGGCATAGAAAGCGAAATCGACTTGTAAATCGGAGTGCCATTATGCAGATAGCAAGATGCACGGCTCAACCTGGAGAAAAACGCGCGGCGCGGTGCGGCGCGGCGCGGCTCGAGACTCTCGAGACGCGGTCCGAACCAGCGCGGCCGGGGGATTTACAATCGAGGGAGATCGGAAATCACCGGCCAAGCTAGGCATTAACCATCAAACGCGCGAACCCGGCTAATTGGCGTAGCACGAGCCGCGGCTGTACGAGCCTAGCTCTTCGGAACTGCATAGCTCCGACACCGAAATTTCCATGCGAGCCGTTTAGAGGGGCCTCCGCAGTCTCCAGCGAGCTACGGCCGCGGGGGATGTAAAGCTTGGTGTCCATTTGAGAGCGAAACCGTCGCGTTCCATCGATCCGAGCACGCTTCTCTC